TTAAACAAATGTTTCTTAGAAGCTAACCGACCAATCAACTGATATACATTCTTTTTCTGGAAGAATAGTGAACTTGGAAGAATAAGACCTTGGAATACTGCATTTCTCGGAGACAAACGTCTAGTAATATATTGCGTGGTGGCCTGCTTTAGATCAACTGAAATCTTGAGATCTGGTCATAATGTTGCGGTTTGTTGAATTAGGGTGCACTGATACATCATAATAATATGATCTAGTGCACAGCTCATGCAGCAACAGGGAAATCGTGGATCTTCTTTTGGATTCATTCCATATACTTGATGTTACCCGACGTTCCAAACAGAGAGTATGGTGTGTATAGACACTGCAAAGTGTTACAAGCTATTAAGAACTTCACATATGATGAGATGAAAGAGAAGATACATACAGCCTACATATTCATTTAAAACAGAAAGATCTTTTGTTTGGATTTCAAGCTGTAGCGAAGTGCTGTCATATCTTCATTAAAAGAAATTGATACTTTATGATGTTTGAAATGGGTACTTCTTCTATCAGTTGTGTTCGACCTGCTAATAATTCTCCACCAAACAGATTTCATTAAATTATATTGGTGAAACGTTATTTGAACCAAGGTTTTTCAAGAGAAAAATCTCGCGAGACAAGTGGATGAAAAAAAAAAACATTTGTTTCATCCACATTCCTCTTCCATTCATCCATTCATCTTCATTGTCTGTAATATGTGCAGTGTGACAATATAAAGATTCAAGGTTCCGTAAATTAAAGTATTTCTGATAAAGGGGAAGAAAATTAAATATTACTCTGTTCATTTCATTGACTCAAACTACTCTCGGCACACAATAAGTTTACTTTCCTAACCAATAAACATATTAAAACATCTTCAATAGCACCTTGAGAAGCTCTCATAGTTCCAGATGTATTGGCTAGTTTGCTCTGCATGTTGCGAATATTGCTTACTGAATTTGAGGGGGGGGGGGGGGGGGGGGGGGGGGGGGGAGGGGGGGGGGGGGGGGGGGGGGGGGGGGGGGGGGGGGGGGGGGGGGGGGGGGGGGGGGAGGGGGGGGGGGGGGGGGGGGGGTGCTGCGGGCATCTACACCCTACATTTCAAATTTACCGAGATCCTTCTTTTGGCACAGAAATCGCCTAGTGAAGCTGTACATTTTCAGCTGAAAAACAGCACTTGGCTCCATTGAATCTAATTGTCGAGCACAAACATATCAAGATAATTGCCCGATGAAATTTGTTTCTGGCTGATGAACCAATCAGGTAGGCATATCACTGCTAATAAAGCCATTAACACTGTCTGAGCAAAATTATGCTCACGTAGAAATTTATTAATATAATTAATAATAATTATTAATAAGGGTATCTAAGAAATGGTTCTGTACAATGAATCTATGGTCTGAATGTTTTTTCTTGTAGAAATTTGAATATTTTATTTTGAGACACATGCATATGTTTTTGAGCATGCATGTTAAAATGCTTATGTTTTTGAGCTTTATATATGCAGCAAGTATTTCTCGTAAACGTACGTTGAATTCAAACCTGAAAATTTAATAATTATACAAACTAATTCTAATAAAAAATAAGTGCACAAACATACGATTTAACACGTACTTTAATTGGGATTTTTCATACAATTAGGTCTCTTGCAATTTTACCGACGGAGGAGATTTAAAATAACAAGGGCTTGTGAATTTATGCGGGAGATACTCTGAGCTTTGTCAAACTGCTATAAAATTTGCTTGAGGTTAAAAACGCATGCCCTAGAAGTAAAAGTGAGGAATTGAGCGATTTGCTTCTTCATTTGAAATAGGGTATAAGGATCTTGGATGTGAGAAATGATTTTTGCCGAGGTACATTTGGAACAACAGGCAAACAATTCCAATCTGTTCTGTAGCCAAGAGCAAAAATAAAAAGCAAGCGGAATCCATCGAATTCTCACTGCGGTCTGGAAAAATGGTCTTACGCAAAAAGGATTTTAAAATAAAAGTTTCAAAAAATCGTAAATCTGAAACATGCGTATTATTCATTGTCATGCAAATTTACAGGGCAAGGTAAAAAGTTAAAATCCTTTCTACTAAGCCTTTCTCTGGCATGTTCTACTCTAGAATAGCATTTTTATGTATTTTTTAGATGAGACTATCTCAGGAAGAAACGAAAAACATTTCCTGACAGTGGGGGGCGTATTTTAGATTTTCAAAAGTAAAATACGCGGCTATTTACATATATTTTTGGGTTGGAGGGCACTTTTTGCACCTCCCTGTATATTTTACTCCATAAAATAAAAATAAAAAAATTGAAAGTTAAGGTATAAACACACATCTTTATGACGCCTGGATGCGCTTTACTTTTCAGGTTCCTCAAAAATATTGCACCCAAAAAACTGCAAAATCTTTCTACTTTTAAATTGAATTTAGACACAGACACAATTGCCGCGAAATCATTTCAAACATTTTCAGTATTTCTGAAGAATATGTTGAAATATTTTCAACATTTCTGAAATTTGAATTTGTGGATATAAAGCGTTAAAAATTCCACTTTTCGACAAGATTTTCTAATACTGATACACTTTCTAATCGAGGCTTATTGCTATCAAGTTTAAGGAACTTGAAGGGATATTATACGCTAGTCAATTTTTTAAAAATATAACCTAATATCCCTGGTAAAAAATTAAAATTAAAATATAATAACTAAGAAGTGTCTTCCAAATTAAATTATTGTCATCCAAACAAAATAATTTGCGACATAAATGATAAATAAATAATCTTTGTCAATTTTTGCGCAATCAAATGAAAATACAATTTTAAGTTTATTAATGAGTTATTTCTCAGAGCTGGTTGGTTTCAACGAATGCAAACATATGACTTTTGTATTATACTGAATTTTATTTTTATCAGTCACTCCAAGTACAAAAGCCAAAAGAAGAATCTCAAAGTAGTAATTACCACAAACAAACAAAAAATATGTAGCTGATTATAGTTTCGTTGGAGTTTAGTCCAACTTTATCAGAACGGATGAAAGCATTACAAGTTACAGTGCTTGATAGGAGGGCTGCACTGCCTGGTCAAAAGAAAAGTGTTAGGATCAGACTACATTTTCCTAAGACTTCGAAAGCAATGCAATATGAGAAGCGTTATTTACAAAATTGCTATTCAAGAAACGTTTGAAAACCTATAAGAAATCTAAATTGAAGGAAGGATTAGAGATAACAATAATTTTGGATTATTACAACTGAAATACTTTGTTTTCTTAAATAAAGGGAAATACAGAAAACCCTTTACTTCTATATAGAAAACTGTATATATTCGCTTACCTTGAAATTTAAAGGTCTGCATGTTTGTCGTATATACATTAAACAGCATTCACAAGGAAATTTATAAATTAGAAACATAGTATCAGCCCTGAGAATAATCCCACATATAGTTCTAGTTAGACTAACATACGCATTAGAAATAAAAATTAGTAATCTCTTAAGACTAAATGCATAAAATCAAATTTCTTAGAAAATTTTACCTCTTCCTGAAATCAAATACAGAGGCCTTAAAATAAAAACCAACTTATTGAAGAAAAGATTTTACTGTCATTTTATTTAACACAATTATAATATTTCAAACAAAAATATAAAAAATATTTATGTAATTCTAAAAAACCATCGCTGGCATCTTAGTGAATTTTTAATTTCCAGGACTCTTTGTATGTATAATTTTACATTTTGATTTGAAATGTATCCTTGTATCTCATTCCACTCTTTATTAAATGAATATGAAGTGTTCTAAATGTTTTGTGCTTTTTATGCTTATGAATCAGTAAATCATAATAACATATACATAACAGATAGCAAATTAAAAAAAAAAAAAAATTCGTGAACCCTTTCATGTCGAAAATTTCTGAATTAAATTGGTATTTTTGAGAACAAAAATTAAACATCACTTCTATAAAACGGTCACTTTCACAGAAAACAAAAGTCATATAGAACAAGAAGTGATTGTGTTGGAGAGTGTTCAGCGTACTTAAGTCATTACAAATAAACCATAAATATTCAGTGATTTTTTTCAGAAAATAAATGTGCAGAGGAAATGAATAAAAATATTGGGTGTAATAAAACATTGCAAAAAATCATGTAATTTTGTGAAATTTGTAACTTGCATTTCTGAAATTTGTAATTTGTATTAAATGGCACATGTATTATACATTCCACAGAATATAACATTATATTTCATCTTTAGACTGTTGTTTCGTATACAAAAACAAGCATTTTTAAGTATAAACAGATAAACAAGTATCGCAACTGTTATTTAGAATAAAAAAGTAAACATTTCAAAATAATGTATTGCATTTTCCTAGTATTATTGGAACTTGCATAAAATAACAGAAGCAATTTATTACAATTTTCTGAAGCATTTAAATCTTTCTAGAAAACTGAAATGATGATTGAAACTAAAACGCGTAGGACAATTTTTGGTGCGTTTCAGCCATTTAACCAATGAGGCAAATCTATAATTATTTTTTGGTCCAATGGCGGATCTTAACCTTTTACAGGCGTTGACCACTGCTAAGGCCGGAAGCGTCGGTCACTGTAGTATGGATATAGCTAATATGGAGTCCACCGTTACCTCCTATGAAGGGACAAACAACTTAAACTTAGTTATTATCCGGGATTCAAACATGGACCCTTCAGTACGGCAGTCAGACTCTCTAACCACTTTCTATTTTGGGCGGCACACTGGAGAATTTAAACTGCTTGAATTTAATTTAAACAACTACATTGGAAATTAAGGCTCGTTATTAAAATTTGCACCTAGCAATGCATTGATCAAACCTATCAAGAAAATAAGACATGAGTATAAGACAATCGAAGGTAACAAATGTGCATACATAAAATTAATTAAATATTATTAAAGGCTACAAAAATTAATAACAAATAAAATGTTTTTGAACAAAATAAAACGTTTTTGCACAAAGTAAAATATTTTTGCTTAGTAATTAAAAAATTCACTTACTTTTTTTTAAAGAAAAGCAGTAAACTGCGTTCTTCTTTTGAACTTTGAACATCCTCTGTCTCTCTTAATTGGCCGTTGGAAGTGCAAGTACATTGTACTTGGCCCACGCAAACTGCCCGCTACTTGAGAAAACAGTGCTCGTAAATCAACGATTAATGTTAATTTCGGCAGATACATCTCTATCAGCATTTTGTAACCACTACATGTTAAAAGTACGACAATAATTAGTTTAAATCTGAGGGCAAAATCTATTTTGTGAAAGATGCACATTACCGATTTATTTAACATTGGAAAAAATAATATTTTAAAAAAAAAGAAAAAGTAGTGTTAAATTGCATCTAAAGTAAAAACATACCCACTCACAATGATATTTTATACGTATTCATCAGGACAGTGAATTAATTAATGTAAAAATTATATGAAATTTTGAGCTAAATTTTTCATTGCCATGGCTCTTTTCAAGAAACATTTAAATTTAAACTTAATTTAAATTTAAGCTCTTCTTTAAAAAATGACGTTATTAATCATTTTAAAGTAAAATAGGACCCACATTTTTTTTTTATTTGAAATGTGAGTATTAAAACAGTTTGAAAATTACTTCAAGAAAGGCACCGCCCACAGTTCTCGTATTTTCAGCAATATAAATTTGCTGAAGTAAAGAGGATGGGTAACAATATATATATGCTTTAGGCATAATATTCATTAATAAATAATTAAATTTATATATAGGTATAAACTCTACACATATATGTGTTATTAACAAATTGAATTTGTATATATAGTAAAATTCTACATATATGTGCAACAACGATTATTCATCAATTTGCATCTATTCGGAATTATATTTATTTTAATATCTAAAAGATAAATTAATAACTTCCTTTATAAATTATTTTGATTTTAAATATTTTGGCAATATTTATGAAAACAAAATTTTAAACAATACGCATTTTTGTTTGAATAAATTTAATATTTTATATTTTATATTAACTTTTACATTTTTTAGATACATTTACTTTTTACTAATAATTTAGATTAAGAAAAGAGTAATAATTAAAAAATAATCTTGTGCAGGCATCATATTCTTGACAGAACCGATTTAGTCTTTTTTCATCCTAAAAGTAACGTTGATAATCTAATAAGTTATTTTCTTCCTCTTTCCAGTAGCTCACGGGGTCGAGCACAATCGGAGCGTATTCGAGAGGTCCAGGTTCGAGTCCCCGCTTGTACAGTGCACATTTTTCTCATTTCCTACTTTGAGGTTCGAATCCCGCGAACGGGCTGGCTGCATGGGCGTTTTCGTGGTTTTCCCCATGTGTAAGGTGTATACGAGCCAGTTTCCCTTAGAAAGTCCTCCACGAAGGCATCCCTCCCTTAAGGCAGATAGCCCTCGAGTGCTTTGCCGTAATCTAATAAAATCAAACCAAAAAGCAAACTCATTTCCTACTTTAAAAAAACCTAATGACTCTATAATCTATGAAGAAAGTTAAGAACGAACATGTCTAAAAGCGGAAATGCGCGAATTTCTTTGACGTTGACAAATTACCAGATTGCAACGGCAAATAGTATTTTGCGTCTTTGCTGAGTTGTAAAGACGTAAAAGTTACCAAGACGTCATTGCAACTTCTTAGGAAGTGCTTACAACGTCTTTGCTAGGTCATGTGTTACTTGGGGAATCCCGATACAGTGAGAGCGCCGTGAGTAATGTTTTTTCGGTTTTTTCTCATATCATCATATCGAAGTGCAGCTTTCTCAGTAAGATGACTTACATAAAATTTTTGTCTTTACATCTTTACCCCGAAAGGGCTATTAATTTCGAACCTGAATTTTTCTTCTAATCACTTTTTCGTCATATCAAGTATTATGCCCGTATAACTTTTTAAATAAAGAGATATCACAATGTTGGCTAATCGAAGAGGATAACTTTTATCACGTTAATAGGAGGAATGCGCGAGAAGAAGAAAGGCTGTTTAAACTCATTAGCATGTTTCTGTTTTAAAAATGCATCCGTGGGAACTGAGAAGCGCACTGTGGAAGAATGGAATTTCATGCCTTAAAATTCTTGAAATATTCTTATAAGAAATATAAGGACTTGTCATGAAAGCTGCCTAACAATTTGAAGAGACTACACTCCATTCAAAAACATATCCTATTGCAATTTAGGCTCTCGGATTCCAAGTCTATGATCATGAACATGAAAGATTAGTTTATTACTAGTAAGCTCACGATTATCTAAAAACCTCCAATCCACTGCTAAAAATGTAAATAATTAAAACAGACAGCTCATGTCTTGAGCTCATTCACCCCATAATGTCTTAAAACTAAAATCAAAACAATTTGTAGAATACAAATCATAAAAATAAATTATAGTAACAAGGCTTGTAACATACTACTGACTGTGTTATTGGAATCTAAAAATTCACAGTTATTTTAAGTACATAAAAAATTAATTTGTACCTGTTTTCCAAACTAAAAGTCTTAAAACTTAGGATTCCATTTTAAATTTCTGTACAAATCATTGCCATCCTCTTCTTCAAAACAAAGAATAATTAAATGAAACACTTTGATATTTTTCATTGTGTCTATACACTGAGTTAAAAGTTTTCTGCTTTAACATCTCGTATAAACACTGTGAATAAACATGCCAGAAGAGCAAAACTGTTAGCCAAAAATGTTTAGCCTTTTTTTGCAACTTCAAACAGTAACAATTTTTAAAGGTGAAGATACCCTGAGCGAATCGCGATATCTTCATCAATTTCCATCCCAAATTAATATAGTACAGCAAATATTAAGAAAAGTGTGCCAAAACTTAAAACTCTATAATGGTAAATACTTATCAACTGAGTGCGCCCATACTATGTACAATTTTTCTCTTCGCCTTTTCTAATATATTTTGTATTTTCAGCTGCAGAATTTCTACTACTGCAAAAAAATTCATTGAAATATATTGCATTTCTCTTTTTTTAATTAATTTTGGACATCGGGAAGAAATATAATTGATGTCCAATGTGTATCATTTTGTTTATACTGTGGTTACCAGGATTGAATAATGAACAATTTTAGATATAGCAAAGATTGTTAAGAGTTACGGAGTAAGAAGTGAAAGTGTTTCTGTATTCCGTTTTTCTGTACTTATATCTTGGCTTAGACAAAAACTTTAATTACTAATGTAAGGATTCAATTAATAAATGCTTTTTAATACCAGATCTCAGTAGAGTAACAGTTAAGAATTTGACCCCAAAAGGTATATAAAGTGTTTTCTCTCTCCTTCCAGCATGCCTTCGTGGAGCAACGCTTATTTGAGAGATCCAGGTTCGAGTCCCGCGAGGGCATTGCTCATTTTTCATGTCTCCATCATCAAACAATCAGTGGCTCTAGAGCTAAAAGATGGTGGACAATAATTCATCCCCATCAGGATCTGCCGATTGAGTCTTCTAATCCCCAGTCACCCTTTAAAAAGATAATATATAAGGTAATTTCTCTCTCCTTCCAGCATGTCTTCCGGGTGTCCTGACTAAGAACAGGGAGTTTACTTTAAACTATGTTCGTGCAAGTGTAGGAAATACGACACAAATGGGAAGGTTTTAATTACCGTTTTATTTCTCACAATTTACAACCGTTTCTCGCACTTCGGGATACAATGACCAGTACTTGTGGTCTGAAAAGTAAAAAGTAAGAACTAAAACTACTTAATTAAACAAGAACTAAACTCAGATACTTTACAAAGACTAGTAAAGCGAAGATTGGCCATTTAATCTTTACGTATGTAGTAGACAGAATGCAGTAACTACAATACGTCTTCACGTATCCAAGAGAATTAAGTTCTGGCCTCAAAGGCAGATAGCAACTGACTGAAAAGCCCTCGCGAGGTGAGGTAGCGAGAAGTCTCTCTGTCTTCCTTGGCTTGCTAAAAGCTATAACTTAAATACTTAACAGTTTGCACGCTCAATTTGCATAACTAAAACTGTTCGTGTTTATTCTGGCCGGAAATGGAAAATAAGAGAGGATAGCAAAGTTTTAAAATAAAATAAAGCGTTAATAAAACTTAAACTCCTTGCAACAGTAGCACATTAGGCGCGTATTGGAAAGGTCCACGTTCGAGTCCCGGGGAGGGCATAGCTCGTTTTTTCACATTTCCATCACCGAAAAATCCTAATGACTGTACAGATGCTTCAAAGTATGTAATGAAATTGATTAGGGTATTCTTGCCCTCCAAATACGAAAACTCTACGTACGCATTTGGCCGATAGATGCAGCGAGAGTATGCTGAGTAATTTTTTGAAGATAAATGCATGAATAGATGAAACAGAATGCAGAAATAAACCCATTAAATCACTAAAACCTATAAATTAACTTTAAAGTGGTTATTGATCCTTGTTACAGAATAGTTATATGACCGCAAAAGCATAGCCTAATCCTTCTCCAGTTTAAGTTACTCCTCCACAGGAAGACCTCAGATATGAATTCTTCTAACAAACACGGGGCTTCCGTGGTCTTATTTGGTTGACAACTTGGGGCTTTCGTGTTTTTCTACATGTGAGTCTAACTACAGCCTATTTTACATCTACTAATTAATCATAAAGATGTCATCTCCATAAAGGAAAATGTTTCCAGATCCCTTGTCACAGTTATGTAAAAGAATATTTTCAAATTATCAGCCTTCTGTTTATGAGTAAATAAACATAAAAGTAACCTTTAAAATTTCAATACGAATGAATTTCTTCTCGTATAGGATTAATTACAAACTAGTTTTAGATTAACAGTAAAGATGTCATATCTGCATCGTCAAATGCTCCTCAAATATTTGCCGCACCTAATTAAACAAATATTTTCTAACAAGTGTTGGTTTTCCAATTTACTGTAAATAAATCTAAAATTAGGTTATTAAAACTTAAATATGAATATGTTTCTCCTAGTGTGAACCTATTTACGATCTAGTAACACATTTTTTGTGATCAAATCTAAATTAAACATATTTGTACAAATAAATTGTGAAAATATATTGTATAATTAATTACAAAATTTTGTGTAAATCAGTATATCAGTATATGCTTTAAGATTTGAAATTTTCTTTTTGGAATATAACATTTAATCTGGTACATTTATTGCTAAGAACATGAATAACTTGGAATATATTATTTTACTATTAATAAACTACTTCATTTTCGTTTTTCAATATAAAAATTAGATGATATTTTT